GCGGTCCGTGAGTTCGAGCCCCGCGTCAGGCTCTGGGCTGATGGCTCGGAGCCTGGAGCCTGTTTCCGATTGTGTCTCCCTCTCTCTCTGCCCCTCCCCCGTTCATGCTCTGTCTCTCTCTGTCCCAAAAATAAAATAAAAAACGTTGAAAAAAAAAAATTTAAAAAAACTTCTCAGTTAAGATCAGATATTAGGTTCTTTTTTGACAAGAAGATGAATTCAAGTCAATTCCTGAATAACCGAGAAGATAGCCTTCACTTCTTTAGACCATCACCCAACAGAGCCTCCTAGGGTTGGATAGAAGATAGACCACCTAACAAGAGCATAATGACCCAACAGTGAAGTTTTTTAGCCTTTACTTACAGGAGAATCTCACAGATCCTGTGGCCCTTTTGTCCCATAGAATCCAGATATTTGAGACACCTTTTTCGTAGGTCTATCACCTATAATGGAAAATTACAACATCCAGAAACATCTTAACCACAACAGGAGAATTTTATTTCTAAAAATAAAGCCTCTTTTAAAAAGTCAATACACATATCAACATAAATGGATGTCTAAGACACATTTTTTTATAAAATATCACAGATGATATGAGCTTCATTTCTATAAAGTTATATATTTCAATTCCTGGAAAAAAGCCTAGAAATTTACCAAAACATTAGTGGTCTTCTCAAAATGAAGAGATTTTTTTGTTTTTTTTGCTTTTTGCTTTATATCTGTACTTTTCTATAATAAATCTGTACCTTCTTGTAAACAAAACTAAGGAAATCAAATAAAGAGCACATATGTGTTACTAAAACCCTTTCCTGTCTTCCTGTATGCCATCTAGTTTTCTAAGCTGTTCAACTCAAGAACAAAAAAGGACTCTACAGAGTACACTTTATATGTACTACTGGACTTTAACTGGACAGAAAAGGGTAGACTTCCTTATCCAAGAAAACAGCTATTACAGAGGTGCCTGGGTGGCTCAATCAGTTAAGCGTCTGACTCTCGGTTTCAGCTCAGGTCAAGATCTCATGATTTGTGGGTTCAAGCCCCACATCAGGCTCTGTGCTGACAGCATGGAGCCTCTTGGGATTCTCTCTCTCAAAAATAAGTAAATAAACATTTATTATTTATTTATTTATTTTTTGTTTTAAAGTTTCTTTCAAGAGAGATAGTGGGAGTGGGAGTGGGGGGCAGAGAGACAGGGAGAGACAGAATGCCAAGCAAGCTCTGCACTATCAGCACAGAGCCTGACATGCGGCTCAATCATGACCTGAGCCCAAATCAAGAGTGGAACGCTTGACCGACTGAACCATCCAGGTACCCCAATATATAAACATTTACAAGAAGAGAGGAGGGGAGGGAAGGGGAAGGAAGGGGAGGGAAGGGAACACAGCCATTATATAAACTCCAACAATTACCCCTCTCAACTTACCACCAGGCTCCAATGTACCTTCCGATGAATAGGCACCAGAATAAGTTCCTGTTCAAAGAGATTGACCCCTTTGGTCCATCTTTTCACTGCTTGGTAACCACCAGACTTTAATTTGGGATAGAAAAAAGTACTGAATGCATGAAGTGCTGGATACCCTTGTTTTTTGTTTCTTTCCACCAGAAGATTCATGTAAAAATTAATGACCTGTAATACCAAGGGAGTAAACATCAGAACACAGCAAGTACATTACCCAAACTACATTTCTACCTAACCGAATTAGGATGAATTGGAGATAAGAAGCTCCAAGAAAAGAAGGTACTAGAGATGGGGATGAAAGGGCCGTTTACTGCAGAAAATGGAAAATAAAAGATAATCAGGGCAAAATGGGAGGGACTAAGAAGGAGTGAAATTGTACTTTTGAACCATGTGAGTAAGAGAGCCATGGGAAGGAACTCAAGGAGAAAGTCTGCAATAATGAAAAGGTGTATGTAACTATATCACACACAATAACATGCAAAATATGAAACAGAACTGAATCTTACTATTTATAAATTTTACTATATATAAAAATATTAACAGGAAGAAAATATACCTAAACATTAACATTTTGTTTATCTTTGGTGGCACTTTTGAATGATATTTTTCTTTCACCTTTCCTGTATTTTCCTAATGTTCTATAATAAATATCTAACATTTATAATGTAAAACAAAAATTCTAGTTTTACAAGAATGTGTTTATGGGTCATTAGTCATTGGCGGAGAGAGAAGGAAGGCAAAGGGGGAAAATGCAGGGACTTTGGGGAGTTAGGGAAAGGAAAGCTAGAAAACATGCAAGAAGTAAAAACTCATTTTAGCTAAGTATGTAAGGATACAAGACGACAATTAGGCAAATTTTTGCAGTTATTGCACAAATAAAGAAAAAAGACATTTTACATATACATTTATGCACAACGATCAATCTATTTATCATTGAAAAGATAAAATGGCTCTTATAAGAATTCATCTAAAATGAAGTATCACTTGCTGCTTCCTTCAACTCATCAGCTACACCCAAGGTTTATCAAAATGTCACTGGCTGGCTTAGTCTATAGAGCATGTTGACTCTTGATCTCAGGGTTGTGAGTTAAACACCATGTTGGTCATAGAGTTTACTTAAAAACAAATAAATCAATCTGTAAAAAAAAAAAAAAAAAAATGTACTGAAAACTACTAGTAAATGAAGTGGTGGATGAAACAAAGCACCGATGCAGAAGAGGGAACCATTATTAATTAAAGGCAACAAACAATCAGAATTGACTACCATTTTAAGGTTTGAAATGTTTCTGGTTTTTTACTTATTTATTTTTTTTATTGTTTTGAGAGGAGGAGAGGGGCAGAGAGAGACAGACAGACAGAGAGAATCACAAGCAGGCTCCACACTGTCAGCACACAGCCTGATGTGCTGATGTGGGGCTCAAACTCACAAACTGTGAGATCATGACAAGGTGCCCCTGTTTTGTTTTGCTTTAATGTTTATTTATTTTTGAGGGAGAAAGAGAGATAGAGCATGAGCAGGGAAGGGGCAGAGACAGAGAGGGAGACACAGAATCTGAAGCAGGCTCCAGGCTCTGAGCTGTCAGCACAGAGCCCAAGGCGGGGCTCGAACCCACAAACTGTGAGATCATGACCGGAGCCGAAGTAGGACACTTAACCAACTGAGCCACCCAGGCACCCCATGAAGTGTTTCTGTTTTAAATGAAACTAAAAGTGCGTTATTATAACTGGGTAGAAATCACTTTGGCTGTGGACAGTAACGGTTAAGCATAATGACAGAACAGGGAGGGGAGGGAGAGACAACTTACTTCATCATTGAGCCAATGATAGTTCTTCAAGGTCTGTATATCTCCTCGAGTGATTCGCAACTTGAAAGCGCTACTTAGGATCTCATCCTGTGGGCCATGACCTAGGGCATTACTGATCTCCTTTTCCATGTCCTGAATTAGAAAGTCCAGAGGTTGTATTTTAAATAGAACCAACAGTCAGATTTCAAAAGTCTGAAATTTAAAAAAGCTTTTCATCTCTGTAATACAAAGTAGACTTACTAATGGTTATAAAAAATGTTAGTTCAATTACTAGCTTCTGGAAACAATAATTTGGTAATAACATTTATATTTATAATTTCAATGATCTCACTACCATTTACTGAGCACTCTGAGCCAAACATGGTACCAGATGCTGAAGCACATCATTAATCCCTGCTTGTGGGGAAAGTATTATCACCATTTTACATAAGAAGTAAAGCTCAGAGAACTTAGGTTACATGTTCACAGTTATTAAGAGCCCAGCCTGGAACCCAGGGGTGTCTAACTTTCTAGTCTTTGCTCCTTTCACAATACTCTTAAAGTATTTTGACACTTTCCTTATTTACCTACTAAACTTTTATTTAAACATAGCAAAGTAATAAAATTAGGACCCGTAAGAGATGATACTATGCAGTCTGGAAATGAAGGAAATAAGCAAACAGGGAGAAACTGGAAAACAAGGCACTGGTCCAGCAACTGAGTCCTCACTGAATAGATGGCTTCTTTACTCTGAAGAATTACACAGATAAACGCATATTCAAGCTACTGAGACTGAATCTATAAACCCAATAGAAATTATTTTCATTCAAGTATTTTAAATCCTGCTTCTCCCACTACACACAATTGTGCTATTTTATGGATCTCTCTACTTGCATGTCCAACATACAGTAGGTGCTCAACAGATACTCACTGCTTAGGACTGACTACCACCTACCAATACAACACTGGAAAATAAGCCACAGTGTGGGCTCACCTTTAAAATGAGAATTTACAACTATTTTCATTTCCTTAGTTTTTCACTAATCACTTTTAAAAAATACAACGGACTCATTTCTAATGCTAAACTCATACTATGTAACCCAAAATATTTGAAGGTTAGGGAAAAAAATCTACAAAGAACCCATTATATTCCGAGATATGTGACACATATGTCTGCTCACATTTGCTGAACATTAATCTGATCCCTTAGGCCACCTTCACAGATCACTAATGATCAATGTAACCAGTGACTGGACAGCCCTTAGGCCTGATTTGTTTCATGCACTCATCCCCAGCCTGGAGAAACGCCTCAAAACAAAACATTTGTTCAAGTCTTGAATAACTGGGGCTACTTAAAAACACACCTCTTATTCTGATCAACACAAGAAATAATACCTCTGTAAGTTCAAGAAGATCATCCATCCTTTTATCCCTCTCTTTGCCCGAGCAATGTTTTTCTTTTGTCTCAAGTATTGACATTTTCCTCCTGAGTAAGCCATTGCTCCCACTGCCCAGGCGGAGTCGGGCCGACACCTCTTCGGATAGGTCAGGTTCCAGTTGGTGTCCCCTCCTCTGATCAAAAAAGTTTCTATATTCTATTGACATGTTTGATATTTACACATATAAACATACATAACACATGAAACATAAAACAGTGCCATTATCCTGAAAGAAGAGAGAAAGCAAATCTCCCAAGTAAGTAAAGGAGATTTTGTGTATCTATCTCTGCAAGGTGAAACAAAACAATGTTCAAGACCTAAGGTTCACAGGACACCTCAATTACAAACCATGAAACAGAACACTCATCACTTTCCCTGGAGGCAGCAAGGAAAGTATTTTCAGCTCTCTTATGCCAGTGGAAAAATAAGACGGTTATAGGACATTCTGAAATGTTTAAAAAAAGCAAAAAAAAAAAAAAAAAAAAAAAAAAAAAAAAAAAAAAAAAAAAGACCCATAATCCCATCACTCAGAATAAAGCATTACGATCCTTATAATAAGTAAACTTGTTCTATTTCATCTTTTAAGAAAAATAATTACTCATATAGAAAAATGTACATTTATGTACCACTTAATTTTTTGTAAAATTAACACCTATGTAAGCACCATTTGGGTCAACAAATAGAACTCTGCCAACATTCCAGAAACTCTGACAATACCCTTCCATATTGTGACCCTATGTAATGTTTAATATTAAATTTCAGTTATCTAGTAGACCAACTTTTAAAATTAAGAAACTGAGTTACAAATAGAGCTTCAGACTAGGACCACACTAGTCTCAACATGCTTAGCCTGTACTCTTCACTCTAGCTGACTGCCAGGTATACTGGTCCTAGGAAACTAGCAGCTGCTGGCCCCTCCCCACATTCCCGGGGAGCAAAGCCTTCAGGTTCAGCAAGAATAGAAGCAAGAGATAGTTGGGTTCTTTTGTTTGTTTTGTTTTGTTTTTAATGTTTATTTATTTTTGAGAGAAAGAGAGAGAGTGTGAGCCAGGGAGGGGCAGAGAGAGAGGGAGACACAGAATCCAAAACAGGCTCCAGGCTCAGAGGTGTCCGCACAGAGCCCAACGAGGGACTCGAACCTATGGACCACCAGATCATGACCTGAGCTGAAGTTGGATGCTTAAGCGACTGAGCCACCCAGGCGCCCCAGCAGGACGTAGTTTTTAGCCAGGTTCCAAATATGCTCCCTCTCTTTCCTCTCTCAGGCTTAGTTCCTCTCTTCTTTCAGTTTGTGCTCCATAGGTGATAAATGCTAACTCAATACAAAAGGCTTCGCTCCAAATTACTGGGGATGGGAAAGTTCTGAGACCTAGAACTTAACGAATGACTTAGCCTTCAGACTAATTCTTACAAAAAGGTCTAATGGGAGAAGAAAAACTTGATTATACTGGTACTTCACATCAATCAGTGTCCTAAACTCTGGCATTTCCATGTATCTAAAATGTGAAGTAATCCAAAACTTCAAGCTCGCATTTAATTTAGTAATGTATTTCTTTTGGATACAGAGTGCTTAGCAAAGCACTCTACTACTATTGTTTAAAATGTTAGTGTTGGTATGGGGATCACTAGAACACTTTTTGTTCCAATACTTACATAGAAAAACATTAAATCCAATTAAGCCTAAGACTGCTAATATTTTCAAATAAATCTGAGATCTTGACTCTGAAAAGAAATCCTGAACCTATTTTTGCTAGAGACATACGGTTTTTAAAAATTCTCCAAAAGAAGCCAGGCAACACAGATAAGGGTTTGGATGGAGGCAAGTTGGTCTCTCTCACAAAAAAAGGTGGCTACCATACAGAGGTAAAACCCCAGGAATTCAGAAGGAAGCCAGAAGTTGTGTATCTTCAATGCCTGCTGCTTTTTCAAAGAAAACAACAAAATTAGAAATCAAAGTAATATTTTTCATCTTTCTTACTTGTCATGAGCACCGAAACTTTAACGTGAATCAGCTGAAAGAGTAAAATGATATAACATTGAACTAGGGTTTCCACTTACACCTTCATTTTCAAGTCTGAGTCCAACTGTCCTCTCTGTATCAGAAATTTTCCCCTTTGAACAACACCTGAGGAAAAAAATTGGGAGAGTGTAGACTGGATATATACTTTTTAATGTTTATTCATTTATTTTGAGAGAGAGAGAGAGAGAGAGAGAGAGAGAGAGAGTATAAGCGGGGAACGGGCAGAGGAAGAGGGAGAGGGAGAATCCCAAGCAGGTTCCATGCTGTCAGCGCAGAGTGCGACACTGGGCTCAAACCCACAAACCATGAGATCATGACCTGAGCCGAAATCAAGAGTCGGACACTTAGCCGACTGAGCCACCCAAGCACCTCTAGACTGGATTAATTTTAACCTGTAAATGATACACTAGTTTTAGAAATAAGACTTAATAATTTGTAAATAAAAACTGCCTTGAGTTTATATAGTCCTCTAAACCAAGAGTCAGCAAAGTTTCTGAAAAAGGATCAGATAGTCAATATTTTAGGCTTTGCAAGTCTTGTGGGTTTTTTAAGTAATCTCTATGTCCACCATGGGGCTCAAACTCACGACTCTGAGGACCCCAAGATCAAGAGCCACATGCTTTACCACTGAGCCAGCCAGGTGCCCCAAGTCTTAGAATTTTTGTCACATTTTCTCAACTTCCATCATAGCTTAAAAGCAGCCAGACAACATGTAAATGAATTAGCATGAATGTGTTCCAATAAAACTTTACTTAAAAAAATAGGCAGGTGGACCAGATTTGGACAATGGCCCATAGTCTACCCCAAACTCTGTTATCAAGGAACTATCATCCAAAATACTAAGGGCACACAGAATTGCCTTCACTGTTTTTATACTAGAGGTGCTAATGCCTAAAGATGCCTACCGCAACCACACTCCTATCCAAGTGGTACCTGCCTGCATCTCCCAACCCCTAAAGCCCAGAAGAGAAGAGCACCCTCTGAGCTAGGGTGGGCATTAGACACAACAGCTACCCGTGTACCCATATATGCTAACCAGCTACCAGAGCTGAGTAGAGTTCATAAGTCTTTAGACATAGTTATTCATAAAAATAGCTTACAAAGAAAATAATCCATCAAAAGAAAACTTAGAATGAACTGAACCATGTACCTCTTCTCACTTCTCACTGAGCATAGAGGTCCCCTTGTTTCAACAACTCTATCTGCGAAGATGACAAAGAAAAGATTGAATGTTTCCTTTATTAACCAACCATATAGCTAGAATTTCAACTTACGCAGTTTCCAAAGTATCAAGACATTCACTTATCATTTAGTGCCGTTAGTGAACAGCCAGTGGAGAAATATGAAGAAATTAACAAAATAAATATTAAGAAACTAACTCTAGGCTCACAAAATACTTGCTATGTAGAAGCTAAGAATAACAATCAAGAGGTATTTTATGAATCTACTTCATCTTGAAATCGCTTTTTTACTAAAGTACTTGTACTGAATAAGACCAAGTCAATGCCCTGGGTCAACAATGTTTTAAAGTTTGGTACACCATCTTTCACTAGCACATCATTTCTCAATTTCGTATGCACATGAACTAAGGTCAATACATGGAGATAGGGCTAAATCTGGGAACTCACATTGTTTTGGAACAAACTGAGTTGTTTTGACTCCGTGACTTTGCTCTTCCCCCCAGCCTTTGGTCTTTAATGTGTCCATGTGACTTCTTTGAGAGCTTAGAAACATAAAGAGTGAAGAAGGTCAAATACAAAAGGAAAGTCCACCATAAATATTCATGATCTCCGACTGACAAGCTTCTCGAAATAGGAGTTATTGATTACCCTGTAACTTCAAAATTATGAGAGGATGCAACATAGTAACATCTGGGACTTGGATACAAGGAGTGTAATCCTGATCCTAATACCTCAGCCAAGTTACCTAACCTCCAGTTTCTCTGTAAAATTGGACGTTCTCAATCCCCAGCACCACCCTGACTAAAAAAACCTCAGTGTGATAAAACTCAGGTTAAAAGATGAAAAATTTTAAATGATATAATGAAATGGACCCTGAAACCAAACAATAAAAGCAGGACTGTAAACGGCAAAATAGTTTGAGGATTTTGCCAACATGACAAAAGCAAAAGCTCAGGAAGCATACTGCTGCTTCCAACAGTGGCTAATCAAAACGGAGAAAATAGTAACATTCTGCCTAAGAGAATAAAAAAAAAAGCTCACAGACAGCAAGTTAAAATTCCTAGACAAATAATCTTCTGCTATTTGTACATTCAACAAGCTAGACAGTCCTGTGACTTTTTCACCTTCAACTTGCCGTTACATGATTTCCAGGATCTTCCCCACCCCCACCGTGTATTCTCACACCACTTGTTAGAATTATCACCTGTGCCTCAATCCTGAGCTCATATATTTTTTGTCCCTTTTTTACAGGCTAATATAAGGCCAGACATCAGCTCCTTCTGCCACTGTCATCTATTTGCCCAAAGCACTAGAATATTTAATTAACAAACAAGAAGCCTTATAAGGAAAACTTTCTATGACCTGGGGTGACTTGAATCTTGTCTCTGAAGTGGAGGACTTCCAATTGTGCAAAAATGCATTCACTAACATGCCACTGGGACTGTGTGTATATCTGACAGAGAAGCTGGGGTGGGAGGGAGAACTGGGCTGAAAAGGGGAAGGAGGGAGAAAGGGACAGAGAAAGACAAGAGATTGTGGGAAATGTGTGTGCTGGAGTGTTCGAAAAACCTCTCTGCTCAGTAAGAACCTGACTTCAACCTGTAATTCTACTTTTCTACATCAGAGTTTCAAGAGTTCATGTGAACAAAAGAGTCTAAAGCTGACAGAAAATTCTGTTTTGCAAAACCACTGCCGTGTGTCTCATTACTAGATACAACGTTCAGGCATATAACAAGGCTAATTCTCTCAAAGCTAACCTCTTTTTTCAACAAAGCCCTTCTCACCAATCCCCTCTCCAAAAATAAGGAAAAAGATGTCTGGCAAAGCATTTATTTTGTTAGCTCATTTCTACCTGTGATAAGTTGAAGTTACAGAAGGAACAGAGTTTCCATGACCACCTTCTTTAAGTCGCTCCAATAACCTTCGGTATTTCTCCCTTTCCTCTTTCTGAACACCCTAAGTAAAAGAAAGCATGTTAGTTAAGTACTGTAACATTAAACCTATCATTAAATCATAAACAGAAACTAAGAGGTCAAATGCCGCCCACAAACGTGTTTGTCAGCATTTAAAAAATTTCTTTGAGTTCCCAACTTTATAAATCTGAAAAGAAAAATCCAAACATCTGGCCTGTTTCAAAAAACTGAATCAACAATGTGGAGCTGTGTAGGGCTATTCTCCTTAGATGGGCCATTCACTCCAGCCCACTTCACTCATTTGTGTTACCTGCTTGACTCAGATGGCATCTAGGTTTTTGACAGCAGTTTTTTGTCAACCACAAAAAACTCAACGGAAATAATCCACCTGCATATTTAGAACATTCAGCTTCCACAGTGAATATGGTCTCACTAAGTCACCAATGACTTCCATGGCCAGACCCAGCAGACACTTCTTCAGCCCTCATGTCACTCGACCACTCTCTCTGGCATCTCACCCTGCTGACCTCACCTTGCCTTCCTAGACTATACACTCCTGATTTCTTCTTATCTTCTTAGTCTCCACTGCCAATTATTTCTCCTTCTGCCTGCCCTCAAATACAGGCAGTCTGCCTGTCATCTCTTCTCACACTACATTCTCTCCCTGAGTCATCTCTCCCTTGATTTATTGAACACCGATACACAGAAGATACTGAAATGTGTCTCTAACCCTGCCTTCTTCTTATAACTCCCATCACCTATATCCAAGAGTCTACAGACAGGTCTTGCGGTTTCACAGGCACTTTAAACAATGTCCCAAAACTGAAGTCATCAACTTCCCCCTACACACACTGGGTATCTTGATCAATGACCAAGACTGAAATCTGAGACTCAGGCTCTTCTCTCTAGCTTTGTATTACACTTAACCAATGAAAATGTCCTTGCTAATATTACCTTCTAATATTTCTAGAATGTATCCTGTGTGCACCTCATATATATTTGCTCAGTCTCATCTCTGACTTCTCACCTAAGAGGTACTGAAGCCTACTTCCATCCCTTCCTCCCTCTGCTTGCCTCTGTTGATTCACCTAGTTAGGCACAAGCTCCGAGAGGATGGGGGCTACATTTTATTCAATTTTTGAATTGAACTGAATTGAATTTGAATTGAATTGCTGACAACTAGCACAACACCTGGGCCTCAAATAAGTAATTCTTAGACAAATTGAACTAAGTGGCTCAGAAAACCATCCACCAAATTGCACTAGGTGATGGTCCTGAGAAATGCCATGGATACACGAATAATTCTAAATTTTCCTAGAATAAGCAAAGATTTCAAGAGGGAAGTAAAAAGAAGACTGTTGATGAAGACATCATGCTAAGTACCCTGAAAAGGGAAGGAAAAAGCAGACGTGTTCACCATTTACTTCTCTTAATTAGCCACAGTTATTACACCTTATGAAAGAAACAAGTTAAAATAATTCAAACAGCGAAAAGGAATACAATCTCCTCTCTTTCTAGCATGATTCCTTTTTCTGTCCCACAGTGAAAAAGAATCTGAAAACTGACTAACTTATATATGTATAGAAGCCTCCAGAAGTATCAGTGGTTACTTGTTTAGCATCAGACATGGTGGTGGGGCCGCGCACTAAAAGGGAGACTGGGAAATGTACAGTGTACATCCTTTTCGTACCTTTTGAATTTTGTACTCCAGTACACATACTATCTATTCCCCTAAAAATTCATAAAATATTTTTTAAAAGAGATCAGGCTAAAACGGCTTACCTCCTCCACAGTACAGTGGGGACGCCTCAGACCCTTGCCACCCTCTTCAGAAATCATCTCTGTTACAACCTGTTCCTGAGGCTTCCAGGTTAAAGAACTTTCTGAAGGGCCTTTGCTGTGGCGACGGCCACCGGGTCTTCTACTATACCCTTCTGAGTTCAAAGTAAAACTGCGAGACAGAAAAAAAGAAAAGAAAAAGTTATCGCCAAACTGCTTAAATTGCCATTATTTAATCTCCCAAACCATCCTGTGATTAAGCTGTCTGTCCTAGGTTGAGCCTGCTCCTGGCAAACCAGAAAACTACCACTCACAACAGTTAAATCTGTCTCTAAAGTGGAGGGCACCCCAGTATTCCGCCCTGGAATGTCTGTTTGCAGCCAACAGGGCTGCCACACGGAAGCCTCTGCCTTCTTCCTCATGCTCACATGTCCAATTTAGGATTGGTTATTTAGGTGTGTTATTACACATACCCTCCTCAGACACTACACTCTCGCTTTAGTCACCTGCACCAGTGGCATTACTGATTCGTGTGACTCCCTGTTTACTGTGTCTATCCCACACTAAACTTCAAATTCCATGAAAACAGAGATGACATCCTTTCACCGCTGTACCCTAGTACAGGACCTAAGCCAAAAGGCACTCAGTAAATATCCACTGAATGCTGAATTAATGAATGCTAAAGAAATGGAAGCCATGAAGCCCCCATCCAGTCCTTGTTGCTGGTGACACAGCCTGCTTCTCCTGATGTCATCAGTAATGCGTCAAACTGGTATCATACCCCTCTTGATGAGATATTTTAAAGAAGATAAACCACTGATGTAGTATTTTTACAAAACGAAAAAAACCAAACAAACAAAAAAAAACACTGCATAATCTTGAACAAATAATAAGTAAACATCAGACAAAATTAAAGAACGTTCTACAAAAGAAATGCCTTCTACTCTGTAAAAATATCCATGCCATCAAGGACAAAGAAAGGCTAAGGAATTGTTCCAGATTAAAGGAGATCAAAAAGACATGAAAATTAAATGTAATACATGATCCTGCACTGAATCCTTGACCAGAAAAAAAAATAATCTCTATAATGGAAAAATTTTAATGAGATTATAGAATAGTATTGTACCAGTGTTAAATTTTCTGGTTTTGTTAATCTGTGATTATGTAAGTGAATGTCCTCACTCTTAAGAAATAAACACGCTCATGAGCTTATGATTAAAGGAGCATGAGCCTAAGACTTACTCTCAAAAGCTTCAGAAAAAAATATTAGGTATATATGACAGAGCATGATGAAGCAAATGAGGCAAAATGGTAATAACTGGTGCAAGAGGGGGAGGGGCAGAGAGAGAGGGAGAGAATCTCAAGCAGGCTCTACGATGTCAGCACAGAGCCTGACCCAGGACTCAATCTCATAAACCATGAGATCATGACCTGAGCCGAAATCAAGAGTCAGATGTTCAACTGACTGAGCCACCCAGATGCCCCTATAGAGTTTTAAAATACATAAAGACAAAATACATGAAGCAAAAACTGACATAACTAGATGGAAAAATAGACACATCCATAATTATAGTAGAAAACATCAACACTCCTTGGTCATCAATCCATAAAAAGGTAGGTACAAAATCAGTACGACCCTCGTTGATGCTTATGGTAATTCTCTACAACAACAGTGTAGACTATATGCACATAATGGTAATTTTAGAGTGGAAACATATCAATCACAATTTGTACATATAATTTTGGAAGACATAGTGTGCCATACAATGTCTCCTAGGAATGTGTTTACTCTGCAAGGAAATTAAATGTTGTTCTACAATAAATGTTAGCGAATATAAAAAGAAGAAGAAGAAGAAGAAGAAGAAGAAGAAGAAGAAGAAGAAGAAGAAGAAAGAAAATCAGTAAGACTGTAAAACATTATCAGTCAACTTGACCTAACTGGCAATCTAGAACATTCCACCTAAAAATAACAGAATACATATTCTTTTCAAGTGCACATTGAACATCATCCAGGCAGACCATATTCAGGTCATAAAACAAATGTTAACAAATTTTAAAGAACTGGAATTATACTACAGTATATCTCTGACAGTAATGGAATTAAATGAGAAATAACAAAATGATATTTGTACTTTCTCTCTTAACCCTACAATCAGCTATTTATTCAACAAAGTGAGAACACAGAAAGGAGAAGAAAATTACTAATAAAAACATTTCATAAAACTGATGTGTTTAGTATACGGAAACTTAACATGGTTTCTGCACTTTCTATATGTATATTATGCTTCCAAAATAAAGTTTAGGGAAAAAATTAAGTTTAGGGGAGGTGGGGGGGATGGGTGAAATAGGTGATGGGGATTAAAGAGTACACTTATGACGGGGAATTGAGCAATGTGTAGAAATGTTGACTCACTCTATGGTACAGCTAAAACTAACATTAACACTGTATGTTAACTATACTAGAATTAAAATGAAAAACTTAATAAAAAAATACAGTTTAGAAGTGAGCAACAAATCTTTTTTAAAAGGTTTTCAACATCAGATACTATAAGCATATGATGATATAGAAAGAGTAACACACACCTGAGTTCAAATCTCTCAACAGCTGTATGATATCTGGCAAATTACTAAACTCGGAGTACTCCTTAACAAGATTACATAAAAGAATAAGTTTCCATTTACAGGAAGGCAGAATTTAACACTTACCCAAAGGAAGGCAGGACTCTGCGAGGCTGATCTCGGGTTACTGTCACTCTGATCTTTGGATAGTCACTTATTCCATTAGGAGATTTATTACCTATTTTAAAAATGCATTTGTAATTGTAAAAACAAAAAACAAAAAACAACAACCCAACCCAAAAACCTGTGAACAGTCTGCATTAGAAAATCTGTGAGCAGACTACATTGTAGAACTAAATACCCTATTCTTTCAAATTCTATTACTATATAGCACAGAGATCCAGTACAAATTGTAAAAGTTGAAGGAAAAGCAATAGTGCTTAGTTTGCCCTGGACCTCAGAGAGACCGTAAAAATTCACAGGCAAGCTCTTCAAGTTTCACTTGCATCCTGGGACCATCAAGAAGCATGGGGAACTCAGTGATTACAAACTCCCTGTAATCTAATCAAATTGAGTGAGTTGTTGAAATCATTTCTTCTTCCCAAGAAAACAGAAGTTATTATTATTATTTTTAAACAGAAGTTATTTTTAAATGAAAACTTGCTATAGGCTACTACACTTCACTGGAAGCTTCCAACACTTATGAGATGGTTACTATACCTCAAAAACAAGTAACCACACTTTCATCAGCCCCATTCACTGCTGGAGCTATTATAGAGGTGTAGAGTCTCTGAGGACTCCAAAATGTAAAGAGATTTAAAACTGAAAGTTTCTTCATTTAAGTCTGTAGCAGCAAAACTTAAACTGACCTGAATTCATTTGTTTGCAAAATCTGATGTGAACCACTGTTCAATCCTAATGGATTGTTAACAATATTCAATAAACACAACATATCTAAAATATGAAAGATTCTAAATTCCCAAGCCCATCTTCAAGGGTTTCAGATAAGAGACTGTACAAGAAAGGTGCCCTAGGAATACCTGTGTTTCTCTGACTAGGCTACACAAATACACAGAAACATAGTGTTGGTACCTCAGGCACAAGACAAATGTATCATCCCTTCCATATGTCCAACTTAATAATAAATAACTTTTTTAATAGTTTTTTTTAATGTTTATTTTTGAGAGAGAGAGCATAAGCAGGGGAAGGTGGTGGGGGGTGGGGGGAGCAGGGGATCTGAAGCAGGCTCCAGGCTCTGTGTTGACAACAGAGAGCCCAATAAGGGGCTCAAACTCATGAACTGTGAGATTCTGACCTGAGCTGAAGTAGGATGCTTAACCGACTGAGACACCCAGATGCCCCAAAGATAAATAACTTTTAATATTTATATATTCAAATGATACGAATAGATTATAAAATCTAATTTGTATTGCTTCTAAAATGAAAGACTGCAAAAAAAAAAGTATCATTTTTGTTCCAGGTCTTTTGGAACTAGATTCTCAGACTCAGGGGTATGCATTTACTCCCCTTTGCTCTTCTCTTCTACCAGAGATACTTTACTAAAAGTTTGAGTAGCACTACTATAAGGTTTTTGTCATTTCCTCAATTTCTTCTATTTTTGATCTCTGAACCCACAACTTTTCTAAAAACTTTTTTCTCTTTCTCTCAAACTTCATATGCTGTGTGACAGAGATCACAGCCATTTTCAGGAGTCTGGATTCTTCCTATTCTTCCCCACGATAGAATTTTATACAGTATGTACAATAATTACAATTCAACTTTGGGCTCCAACAATAATATGGAGATTCGTAATCCATAAAAATATGAGAACTGGAAACTTAAAGTTGCTTCCCAATCAGATGATGTTCCTCAAAGGCAGGGTTTAATTATTTTGTTATTTGTTTTATATTTTGTTATGAAAAGTTTTAATTATTGTTTTGTTATTTTGTTATTCTTGATAACTTAACGCATGCCTACCACAGAGTAAGCTCTCAGGAAATGTTTTTATTTGTTTTTTTTTATGAATGAACCTTGAACTAAGTCACATTAAAGACACTGATAATACAAATAGAAAACACAACCAGTAAATTCAATGACAATTCTAAAAGAAAGCTATTTCATTTTTAGAATGGTAGAGAGACTATGTCTATGTTCTTATCCCAACCCAAATCAGTGTTTTCCTTTCATATTCTCAAAACTCAGAAAACAGAGGCAGAAGGAGGTAGAGGAAAGCAGAAAGATTTTTGACCACCTCACCCAGTTTCAGCATGTTGTTCCAGGATCCAGAACCTGTCAGTTCACAAGATGAAGAATTCGAAAATACCTTAAAATCAAATAGAACCACCTCTGTAGTATCTAAATTTTAGAATTTAAGTAAGTTCTTAATATAAAAAAAATCACTCTATTGGTGATTATTTTGCTAGCTCACAGAAGAGACATCATTAGTGAGACCAAAGGTTTAACTGGTGAAGACTCACAAAATTATGTACAAAATAACAATTCTAGGTTCTTTACATATAGTACTTAAATAAGAAAAGCAGATGTATTAGTAGCTGAGCTCTTTATAAATATTTTTTAACTGCATAATTTCTTAACTTTTAAATTCTTGGCCTTTATATCAACATTAATAAAGAATGGTTCTGGGGGAAAAAAAAAGAATGTTTTTGGAATCAATGTTTCTGGGAAAAAGTCATTCTACTCATTAATTCCTAAAAAGAGAATATTTCTTTTTTTTTTTTTAATAAAATGTTACTTATTTAAGTAATCTCTGTATCTAACGTTGGGCTTGAACACACGACCCCAAGATCAAGAGTTGCATGCTCTCTGACTGAGCCAGCCAAACATCCCACAAAAAGAGAATATTTCTAAAATGTAACTT